AAAGCTTCTCTCTGCACTGTCTCAGCAGAGGAGGGAATGAGAACCCTACCTCCTTTCATTATGTCATTTCTTAATTCACTACCATGCCACCTCACAAGGTGAGAGTAGTTTATCAGCCTTCATAGAAAGATTGGTGCTTTAAAAAGGAATTCCAAGGTAGATGAATAATTTTTTAAAAGAAAACTATGTACTAAATATATCTTTCAGACAGTCCAAGAAAAAGCATCAAAAAATTTAAACCTTCACTATGACTCACATTATGGCTGTTTCAAAAAGTAGAACACTTCTTTATCTTCTCATTCATTGTATTATCAATAAGCATTTTATGGGCTCTATGTCAGTTACTGTTCTACCTCCTAGAATACGAATATGAATCTCCCCCTCCATTTGAGAAATCCAACATCCTACTCAGTGCAATCAGGAAGGCCCTCAGGACACATTTCCATCACATAGCAGGACATTTAACCAATATGGTTATCTGATCTAAAGACTTGCAAAATTCATCCCCAACCAAAATTCCTCAGTTATCTATGGCGTTCCAAATTTTCAAGAACAATTCATAGCCATGTCTAAGTACTTCAGAGGTGTATAGCAGCAGATGCTGAGAGTTGTAGGCATGTATGTTATAGTTTTCCGAGTATCCAGAGAGTAACTCTTGGAACATACACACACACACACACACACACACACACACACACACACACTACCAAGGAACAAATATTAATTCTCAGAAATATACAATCTAATGAGGAAGGGAAGAATATTGCTAACCATGCCTTTCTTTTCTTTTTTGTAAGTTGCTTTTTTTAATAATTGAAATTAAACTTTATTACTATTCTGGTGGTGGGGTGTTCAGTAGTTTAGACATTGATTTCTTCACCACATGTTAGCTAAACAAATACACAGTCAAATCTCTGAAATTTTTTCAACTGAAAAATTTCTTCCAATTCTTAAACAATGGCCATGCTGAAGTCTCAGATTTGAGGATGAGGGGGCACTTTTGCATTTATATGTATGTGTTGAAAAAAGGGATTATTTAGCTTGAACTTAACTATTCTTTACTGGATATGGTATGGAATGGACAAATTTGAGAGAAGAAATGATTGAGGTGGTAGAAAGATAAGTATAGGCAGTAAACTGCATTTTTCTGTGGCAAACAAATTTCTGCTTTGAAAATTAAATTACATTAGACTTGGGGTAAAATAAGCTGAGGGTAAAAAGATTCAATTGGAGAAATCAGTGCATCAGTGCTGATTTTTCCTGGTTGCACAACTCCAGGCGCACAATGCATGTGGTGTTTAATATAAAGAGCATCCCTTGGAGTGCAGAGCCATTTATGTGAATTGCAATGTGAATGATGCCCCCTGGGGTTGTACAACACAGCTTGTAGTGGCAGAAGCCTTTGAAACTGTAACAATTCTTAACTTTCATGTGAATTACTTGTAACGTTACCTCTTCCAAAATCAATCTTCCCCTGCACCTGATGCTAAGTTAAATGTCTTTTCTCAGTTTTTACAGTGCTCATGTACTGCTATCATAGCTGTTGTCACACTATCCTGTACAAGTTGGCTTACTTGTCTCTTTCCCCTTCTAATACTAAGCTCTGACTCTCTTCCCTTTCTGTACCAATGGTTCCAAGCACAGTGTCTGGCACAAAGGAAATGTTCAGTAAATGTTTCCTGAATTAAAAGTAAATTATTTCTCCATAAGATACACCCAATTGCCTTGCATTTTTCCCTAATTTTAATTTGCTGTCAATTTAGTTCACAGAGAATGCACCATGCTCCTATTTATTAAATTAAATATCTGCTTGAAGTAGCATATTAAAAATTAAGCTTAGTTAAATCTCAATTTCCTGTGATCATTATATAAGTTGCTCATTGCCGTATCTCATATTAGCTTGGTTCAATGGTTAGATAGCAATTAACATGAATGCTTAATGACCACTTTCCCATTTTAATATATTACTGATGATACTTACAGTTTAAAGTGCTTTAGGGTTAATTATAAATGCTCATAATTTGCCTATCCTTCTGGCTGACAGTACATTCTTATACCTAAGAGTATGATGAGTACTTCAGACCTGTGTGGGAAGAAGACTGGTCTTCAGAGGCTCAGCAATCAACATTTTTAACCCTTCAATTCTCTCAACTCACCTAAACTATTTCTAGAATCCAGAATATCTACTTTAGCATCAATGATGCAAAAAAAGAATTCTTTGAAATGTGATCCAAAATTTAAGTGTTTTGTGGTAACGGAAAAGAAGATATTGCTATTAGGCAATTATAACAGTTCCTTACCCACAGGGAGTTTAGAGGGTAGGCAATGGATCTCTCTTTTTTTATCCCGTCTCTCTCCCTTCCAATTTTCACTGACACCCGTGCCACTTCTTTCAAGGTCATTTAAACATTGACTTTTCCAGGAGATGATGCTCTAATTCTAAAGCAGCCAACAAAGTCAGCAGATGTATAATATACAGAGCAAGTCATTAAACAAAATTTCTCTCTTACAGTGTGATATGAATGTCCAGATGTAGTAATGCAACCATCATAGGCTTTTTTAATGTTCTCATATATTTTGCATTAATGTAATAAAAAGCTGAAGTGAAGATGTGTATTTAGATTGCTCTCTCTCATGTCACACATTCAACTTCCTTTGTAAATATTTCTATGAATATGTCCAAGTTAAATTACAAGCTTTCCAGTCCATAGCCATGTATCACATTTCTTTTCTTTCCTGTAACAGTCAGTGCAGTGATTATTAGTAACACATTGTTTATATAAAAAGTATGTATTTTACCTTTTTGAAATATTTAGTCTAGCTAATCATTCTAAAATTAAGATAGTATCTACTACACTCACTAGAAAACTAAAATTCAGTTGACATTTTATTATAATACTTCCACAGGTATAACCAAAATAGCTTTTGACATGACAACTTGTCAATAACAGTTCAGCAAAATAGTTCAAAAAGATGATTTACACAAGCCAGCTTCAGGGAAGATATCTAAGATCAGAAGGAACAGTCAGTCATCTTGGAGTTGACCAGATAAGTTTACAAGTCCAAAAATTAGAGATCCGAAAGATCCCAGTGGTTCTCGGCCTTTAAAATTCTCTAGAGTAGATTATTGCACTGAACCCAACTCATATCAAAAATGAAAATAATCCTCATCTTATGGCTCTTCCATGACTACTTCAGTACTACAACATAGTAGGGGCTTAATAAATATGTATGCATTAATGTTTCCTGAAGAAGAAGTGACACAGCTACTGCCACCACCATATCAAAAAGAATCTGGATGGAAATAAGAAGTTGTTGGCCTTTATAAAAATATCTCAGAACGGATACTGATGGCATCATAATTTTGTGGGCCACACTATTACACTTTTTATTCATGCATGAATTGAACATTTAAGTACTAAAGTGATATTTAATTATAGAATTAAAATTGAAAAAAGTAAGTGGTAAATGACTTAGAAGTACAACATTTGTTTATACTTGATTCGTTGTTTTGGTCATTATGTATCATTTCACTCCTTGCCTTTGAATAAAGATATTCATTTTCACTTACTCTTAGCACACTTCAAGAAATGCAATTAAAAGCTGATGAGTAACCAAGATAATGTATACTGGGAATGTGGAAATATTTACTTTTTATGGAGTGCAAATTAGTTGGATATGCAGATTTCATATTAAGTAGATAAGAATTTTCCATAAAATCTCAAGCAATGTGTTTGAAAGAACAAGCACTAATAATTTGTTGCTTATTCAAATAGTTGTTTTCAAGTTCCCCTTATTTTTCTCTGTATCTCCAATCAATAAGTCACTTATATTAGATAGATTGCTGGTCTTATTAAGAAATCCATTCCATTGAGTATCTTAGACTTATTTTTATAAAAGATTTTTTTATCACTTCCCTATTTACATTGCTCAGATACACTTGAGTATTTTTTTATTTAGAGTAATAACTCATCAATCTGTTAGTGCAACCGTTCTTTATGTTATTTTTCTTCGTGCTATGAAATGTGCAATTTTGAATCCCTGAAATGTTATAAACCACCAGATTGCTAATTGCTTTGGATGCTGTGAAAAATAATTACTCCACATTATTTTTGATATTTAATTGACAGTGTAATGCATTTAACTAAAGACCTGAAATAAACTATCTCTAATTACTGAGGGTGGTGGAATGGAAAAGTAGGCTATAAAACTTTACAAAGGAAACCATGTTTCTCCATTATGTTAAAAGTCATTGTTGATATGACTTTTTCCGAGACAAAACATTCCTCTAAATGGAAAGTTTCGGAAAGCTAGAGAGAGCTGTGGAAATATTTCTACTCATGACATAGTGAGGAGGGTTTTTTTTTAATTATTATTTTTGAGAAGATTATACTGGTGATTGATGTCATATACTAAATTTATCATACTTGCAATAAAATTTTCCCTTTTTTAGTTGGCAGAACTTTATGAGAGAGAGAATCATGGCACTGCTAGAATGAATAACTTTATTATTGCCCTATATCCATTTTATTCTGCTTTTGTAGGATATTCAACTGAAAAGCTATGCCAAATTTTAGATGTTATTAAAATATGTAGGTATTATCAGGAACTGGCTCCGTTGTTAGCTCTCAAGGTAAGAACTTATTGTTATAAACTGATATCTGCAAACAACACTTAGAACCTGGCACAAGGAATACCCATTGTCTACAAATGTCATAAAGAGGGGTATAAAAGATGTCAGGGCCTTTGAAAAGATGTATACTATTTCCATTGTCCGTAACCCTGTTACTCTAGGATATTATTAATAATTGGCACATTCTTCTTTTGATCCTCATAATCCTTAGTTAAAAAAAAGTCTTCATTGGTATTACATTATATTGTTGATTTAATTTTAATTATGTATATTTTCCAAAACACAACTAAAATAAGCGACCTGTTTCAGGGAATGTAAATTATTTTCAGAATTTCAGAAATTGAAAAGGGATAAGAGGAAGGAGAAAATGCTGGGCTGGTGTGAAGCGATAGCCCGTAACCCTCACAGAATTCCAAACAACACACGAACACCCGAGATCTCAGGGGATTTGGCTGATGCCTCACAAACCTCCACATTGGTGAGTGGAAAGTTATTTTATCTCAAAATGTCTTGTATGTAAATAGAGTGCCAAGGAAATAGGGAGAGGGATGACCCTCTAAGTAAATGTTATTCTTGTTTACAATAGTATTTGCATTTGTATTGTATCGTTCATATAGATTCAGTTTAATTAATAGACATTAAAAATCTTAATGTCATATGATATTAGAATTTAATTCAAATTACAACTATTTCTTTTTCTTTTTGTCACTTTGGGCATTGTTCTTTTCTTATATTAGTGACTTT